GCGGCAGCATCCTCCTGTGACGGGACCTGGCTGAGGCAGTGTGAGATTTCTCTGTAAAATGTTTCCCGAGCGGCGACACACAGACTGACAGAGTGAGAGTAAAAGTTTTTCAAAGACCCAAGTCGACTCTTCTCTCTCTCTCTCTCTCTCTCCCTCTTTGTCACTCTCACTGTCTTTTCCTCCGTCTCTCTCCATCCCTCGCTCTGTCACATCCTCCTCTTCCTTCCCCTGGCTCTGTCTCTTTCTTCTCTCTTCTGTCATGTCACGCTGTCCCTCGTTACCAACTCTCCTCACACCCCCCCCACCCCCACCCCCCCCTGTCACTCTGTCTCTGGTTGTGTGGCGGCCATTACTGTCTGTTCTCCAGACTGTACAGTTTGTATTCATCAGGGTTGTTGCAGCAGCAGCAGGATGAAGAGGAGGAGGAGGTGGAGGAGGAGATGGTTGTGTTGAAGGGAGATTCACCTAAACACAGATCTTAGCTGGACAAACTGTCACTTAACGAGTGTGCTGCTGTCATGTGTGTGTGTGTGTGTGTGTGTGTGTGTGTTTGACAAAGAGCATGAAGGCGATTGTTTTATGTGTGCAAAAGAACGAGGCGGTTTACAATCTTAAATCCTAATTTCCTGGAGAACATCAAGCATTTAGTGCGTAAAATGCTTTTGTACAGTTATAGTAAAGCCGTTTATTTTTATATTTATTTTTTGTATGTGTGTGTGTATGGGAGCATGGTTTTGGCATATTATCCCGTGGTGTTCGGTTGATGTGTTAAACAGCAGTGGATTGTGGGACTGCTGGAAGGATTAGCCCCAGAACGACCCCGGCTTCAAAAGACGCAGCTCGCTGCTGCTGCTGCGGCGCCAGAAAACAAAACCTCGAAATAAACCGCAGCCCTCCACCTGTCAGACGCCTCGTGGCTACGATGACAGACTCGCACCTAATGATGACAGAGAGGTGCGGATGATCCGTACGCATCGCTTTTATTTTGATTCGGTGAATCTGTTGATTCCTGTTTATTCAGGGAAAGATTTTCTTGTGGCGTCCTGCTCGCACGTTCACAACTGTATGATCCTCTTTACCGGTTCGTGGGTCATCGATGAGCAGCGATGGTGAAACGTCTTACTCAAGAGACTGTGAGGGAGTAACATTCAGACTTTCACAAAGCCAGATGCAGCAGCAGCAGCAGAAGTTGTTGTCATAGTGTGTCATCGCACTGAGGAGCAGAACTAATTTCCTTAAAATGGGAAAGAGAAGCCGAGCCAATACCTCACAAGCAGACGCATGGCAACGTCCCCGGTTCACGTCTTTTTCCTTTTTCTCCCTCCTCTTATTTCCTGTCACTTGTCCGTCTAATAAAGGCATAAAATACCAACAAGTATCCACCAAAGAAGAAGCAGAGAGAGACATCTGTCCTCTCTGTGTTGCTCTCAGTGGAGCAGAATGTATAGATAACATTATATATATATTGTGTTTGGAGTTATGTATCTTTACAAAAGCTTTTACTGCATTGATCTTACCCCGTTATTGTCATTCTTTCCAACTAAATGTAAAACCTTGAGAAAGTCCTGTGAACCAATTACCTCTGTGCTTTTATTTAACCAGTTAATGTCTTAATTTAACTGTATAATATCTCATGTTTGCAGTTGCTTTCTCTCTCAAAATCACCAATTTGAAAATATTCTTGTGGTTGTGGAAATGTTACGTGTTGTTTTTCCAGGACTAAAAAGTCTTTCTCTAATAAGATTAACAACCGACTAATTATTTATTTAACTAGGATTGAGCAGCCCAGGTGTATTAGGCCGATGAACAAGGCAGATCGTATAAAGATTTCCTGGTTGTTTTGTTGCAGCTTTGAAGTTATTAGATTGTGGCTCGTTTTTATTATTTTGTTCCGTTTATTCCCGTATCAGACGTTATGCAATGCGAGTCATAAAAAGTTTGGTGGAGGTCATGATAAATAATAATAATAATGAACCACTGGGCGTGTAAATGGATCCTCGCTGAGCGTCCAGGAGACATTTAGAGATTAAAACCCCAGAGGGTCGCGATCTGAGCTTAACTTCAGTCAGCAAAGATCCTCACTGATATCCTCACAGATGCCATTTGGTGGAGGCTGTTAACCAAAGCTCCTTACGCGAGGACAGGAGTGCACGCATCTACTCACGGTCTGTGATCGCGGTAGGGGCTGAACCCCCAACTGCTGCGACACAAATGTCCAAAACAAGACGCAAAAATATGATGTCAACCTTTTTGAATGAGTGTCGACCACTAACTGAATATTAATAAAGGATAAGGTTTTTTTTTATTAAAGATGAGCAGATAAGATTTTATTCTCTCAGATAGAAAAACCTTTTTAGTCCAGTGCTTATTAAAACCCAATTTGTGAATAATATTGTGACTGTATCTCACAAGCAGATGATTTATTCTTTTTTTTTATATTAACAACAGTTTAAGGTCCCATATTTAAACTGTTGCTGTGTTTCATTTGAAGTGTTGTGTGATCCATAAGAAGATATATTTGTGGTTTAAAGAACCAAAGACCATCTCAGTGTAGTTTTACATCTCCTCTCTAAAACTCTCGCTTCTCTCTCGCTGCTTTGTTGTGACATCACAAAGTTACAGGAAGTTCTGACGGCTGGTTTTAAGGCTCAGGTTCTGAATACAGGCTGTGTGCATTTCTCTGTGGACTGAGGCTTTGATACTTTCACAGTATTAATATAGAACCTGGACCTGATCTATAATCAAAGAACACATGGACATCTCCCTTTAGACAATATGGGACATTTAAAACCTGCACTGTGTCTGTCCTGCCGGCTAGTGTTGTCCAGACAGACTGATGCAGCTCCATTTCCGTCGAGAGCCGAGCTGTTGCTTCAGGTGACATGTTCCTTCCACTGCAGTCGAGACGGATGTTGTAGTTTCTTCTGTCCGGCTCCGTGTAAACAGGAGCATCCGCCCGACATGCAGCCGCTCTCGGGTCGACGGTGCAGTCACGGAGATGGTTCAGGATAAGTGCCGTGTTGATTTGCGGTTAAGGAACGCGTCATCTGATGCAACAGTATCGGGAATGAATTAGTTTTGTTTTCACTTCATATTAGCAGCATGGGGCGGTCATTTGCTGAGCGCGGCTGGCGGCTACATCACAGTGGCGTGCTGGCGCTGCCGACAGCTACTGAACACAACGCCACACCTGCATTGTGATTCAGAGGTGTGGAACAAGAGTAGGTATCTGTGGTTATAAATAAGACATCTCAATACAACAACACCTGTTAGCAGGACAGGTGCATTCGTTTCTAACTGTTGTTTTCAGATGTTACTCATGAAGAACAGTGTCTTCAGTGTAATCTTCACGTATTTACAGCTTTCTTAGAATTGCTGATATGTTTTCTTGTCTGATTCTCCTCGAGATCCCCACCACCACCCACCCACCCACCCACCTTCCCCCCGCAGGGCACCCCCAAAGTCTCCAAATCCCATCCCCTCTCCAATCACATAATCCCTAATCGTCATTCAAGTGCATTAGTGAATTATTCCTTTAATCCAATGGGGGGGGGGGGGGAAAGCAGCTTTTTTTTTTTTTCCATGACTCAACGAGCCGCCCTCGGGTCAAGTAATCGAACACAGGATAAGTACACGGCCAATCGTGTCTCCTTTTAATTTGCTTCACCTCGGCCTCGTGTTCAACGCCAGACTCCATGAGCCCACTCAGTCCGCCACATAATGCAAGAACACTTTAAGGTTGTGATGTCGTGTGTGTGTGTGTGTGTGTGTGTGTGAGGCTGGAAAATGTCTTTGGAAAGACTGAAACGAAGCAGTTGGTGATTGTTTGTGTGTGTTTGTATTTATAGCCGAGATACAAACAACAGCAGATGTTGCGTCGACGGCCGCGGTGTGTTTCTGTTCCTCTTCACTAATATTTGCTAATATTCCAGTTGGTGGGAAATAACACGTTTAAACTGCTGTGTGATCTGATTCAGTTTTTCAGGGGTGAATTTGGATTAAATATCAGTTCATACCAGTGAGATTAGTTTAAATGTCCTCACTGCGAACTGAGAGAGAGCTGCCAGGAGACGGCGGTGCTGTTTTCACCTCAACATCCAGTTTATTTTCAACCCCTCCATTGTTGAATTTTTCATAGTAATGGTTGCTGCATTTTCTGACGTCACTGCGGTGTGTGTGGGGTCAGCCCTTTTTCTTCGTCTGCTGGCTGCACACGATTACATGTTTCCTGCTCAGTCTTTCATCCAAAAACACGATGAATGAATTTGCAGTTTTAAATTCAACTGTATTTTCTTTTATGACCTGCTCTCTCTCTTTCAGTCTCAACTAGACTTTTGCCCGGTTAATGAAAGTAAAATTAAATCAAATTAAATCATCTCTAGTAGCAGATTGAAGATATATATCAGCTGCATTTACAGTTTGACAAAAAAAATATAATGTTAAGAGATTAAACTGCACAGAACCAATGTTTTTGTTGTTGTTAAAAGACATTTTAAAGGTTATTTCTGGCCAGACTCGCCTTTTAAATTCTCACTCTGTCGTTGATGACATCTCTCAGAGTCGGCTACAAATCAAACCAGATGATTTTCAACTGTAGACATCTCCCTCACGAAGCCCTGCGCTCCAATGAGAGGCCCATTTGAGGGCTAGAAGTTTTTCCTGCGCTGATCAATACAAACTGAGTTCTGTTTTTAGAGTGATGCCATTTTCACCTCGTTAGATTTGCTGCTGTTTCCTGACTTCTCTCCCCTTTTTCTCCTTCTGAGAGGAAGAAGTCTCAGTGGAGGCTTTCATTCATCTGTGCTCAGGGTCTTACAATCGGTCAGGCTCAGAGAAATCAGTACGATGGTTTCACCTTCATGGTTTAAAAATTCATACCGCAGAGTAATAATTGATGGTTCTTCTGTCCAGTCGGTGTGGGATGGATAATGAAGCCCCTAAGTCATAATTTTCAGTCGTTAGATTTGTACTAACAAACCTGTTTTTGTTTGTGTTTGCAGGAAACGTTGTCGGGACCAATGTCACGGTGCCGGACAGCACGACCAATGTGACCTCCCCCCTCAGCGAGGAGGAAGGGCCTGTTAAGGTCAACGAGGTCGTCGTCACTGTAACCGGGATGGGCAGCTCGGCCAGTCCCGACGCCATCAGCACTGTGACCCAGAGGGCGGGCCGCGTCCCCCGTGCCGGCGAGGAGGAGGAGCAGAGCAGCGGCATGTTTGGCGAATCGGTGATTCCTGCGGTGGAGGAAGTGGGTGTGGCAGCCCCGCCGCAGCTCAGCCCCGATTCGGCCGAGACGGAGCACCTGCTGCCCAGCACCCCACGTAAACAGGATGCCATGGAGGGCGAGGAGGAGGAAGAGGAGGAGGAGGAGGAGCGTCTGCCGCACACCGACCCACCTTGGATCCACGCCAAGGACACAGCCGTGTTTGACCTGGACCACCTTTTCACCACCACTGCCCCGCCCCCAGCCAACCCCTCTAACCCCGACGTCCTCCATGTCGACTTTTTCGACCCTTCCTCCCGTGGGCGCAATCTGGACCTGGCCCCGCCCTCTCCTTCATCACTGGCCCATGAGCTGCAGGGTGGCGACCCGACCTCCTGGGCGATGCCGGACAACTACGACTACCTCACGCCCTATGAGGACGGCGTGTCCCCCACACCCGACGAGTACACCTACAGCACCACAACTGACGCCTACGAGAGCGACGAAGACCTCCGACTGTCTACCGGGTCTCGCTCCAGGCCCCAGGTCCCGGGTTCTGGCCCGTTCATCCCAGGGGCGTCACTCCCTGGTGCGGGAGCGCCGGTACCAAACAAGCCTGTGGCGGCTCCTCCGGCGGCCTCACCAGTGGACGGGTCAGACGGGTTGGGCGGATGCCGCGTGGGCTACCAGATGGTGAACGGAAGCTGCCGCTCGCCCTGCGACTCGCTGCCCAACTACTGTTTCAACGGGGGACAGTGTTACCTGCTGGAGGGCATGGGAGTCTTCTGCAGGTGAGACGCCACAGAAACACAAGACATCTTCATTCAGGGACAAACACGCTGCAGTCTGAATACACAAAACAAGCCACCACCATGCAAACAAGCAATAAACAGACTACAACCCTGCAGCTCCTCAGAGCTGCACCCACATTTTGCGACTGCATCAAAAATCACATGCACTCACCTCAGATCCACAGCTAAGTCAAACCACCTCACACACACGGTGCGTTCAGTGCAAATACATTTCTCCAGTAATAACAGCACCTCTGATGTCTAACACCAACATCCGTAAATATATTAAGAAAAGTGACTCCAAACTTCAGATCTTCCCTCATAATCATCACATTTTTCTTTGGTACCAAAATGAACCCAGGTAATAACTGTCTGTTCATCCACCGTAACCATGGAAACTACCAGAAGTAAATGACTGCATGACTTCCCATGGTGCAGATTCATCAAAATGTAAATGGATAAATATAGGCAAAAAAAAAAGAAAACTTACTGACTCCATAGCAACAGTACATTTTGTGTTTGCATCAACCAAAGCATGAAACCGTGGAAGAGTTAGACCGACTGTGTTGGTGTCAGTGTTGTTGTTGTCCCAGTGGCAAGTGCAGCAACTAACAAAATCAGCTGCAGCCCAAACAGCTTAGTCCCCACAGACCACCAATGGAAAAAGAGGTGACTATAAACTGTTGACAGGAACCTTGAACTGCAAACAAGGTCAGTTGTTGCTTGTTCTTGTTCTTATAATGGATGTTATTATGGAACCACAAGGGTTTATAATTTGTAAAACTTTCCTAGAGTGTGAGGAAGCTCATTGTCAAGCTGTCATATGTTTGCAGTTGCTTGGTCTTGGGGGGGGTTAATCCTCAGGGGACCATGACTGTCTGTGCAGAAGTTTCTGTCAATGCATCAAATAACTGTTTAAAAAGTTGCGGATCGACCAAAATTTCCACACAAAAAAGAAAAGCAAAAGAATTAAAAGACAATCCAAGTGTGCAGCTGCTGCAGGCTTCATGAGGGTCGCTCATTTACATGTTTAATCGACAATAAATACAATGTGCTTGTTCTACACAGCAATGAGAACCCCCCCCCCATAAATAAAAAAAAATAACTTGTTGTCAGCGAGACTCCATGAAACTGCTGATTTAGTTTGCCGCTCTCTGGTCTGGACCATGTGGAAAAGCTCAGTGCAAAATAGAAGCCAGCACGTTATTGTTAATTTGAACAAGAGACTTTTATGAGGAAATGTCCCCCTCGTCTGCCAGGCTGTATTCTGAGGTTGGTTTTTTTTTCCCCTTTTGTGAGAGCTGGAGTCATGCAAACTGTACAGAGACACACAATAATATGAGCAAAAACATGAAGGCACAAACACTCACTCGCTGACACACACTGAACTACAGATTGATATTAATTCATATTTTTCATGTCCGTTAACCCGACTCCGTCCTGTTACTGTATGACCTGCCTTCTAGGCTTCAGCCACAAACTGCAGTAATGACTTTCCTCAATACTCGATCCAATAGGGTCGTGGTGAATCTAGGTGGAGGTCAAAAGTCAAACGGATTAAGAGATATGAGATATAAAATATGGTGTAAGCCACAGAGTAGTTTCAGCTCGATATGAGTCCTCTGCCGCCGCATCTGAAAGTCAACAATCGCAGCGCATCTGTGGATTAAACCGTCCCGATCTGTGATGAGAACAGCTACACTTGGAAAAAAAAACCCCATCACGTCAGCGTGCTGGGTCCAGGATTACAGCTGCTGCAGATGTGGGAAAGATGTGCGATAGCTTTTCAAATACTGTATTAGTGAATGAATGAATGGAATATGAAGGAACCACTACCAAACCTGAACAACAAAGTAAGCCGTATAGAGACTTAGTGAGCACTCACAGGAGTAGATGGTGAGCCACTGTAGCAAGTGAGCGTAACAAGCTGGGAACATGCAAACGCTGGTACGTCCCAGTAGCCCTGCAACCCTCTTTATTTCTTTCCTACACCGTGTCTTTTGCTGCTTCCTGGCCTTTCCCTCTCAGGATTGTTCATCACTTCATTCAATAAAACCTCACTGAAGGTGGAATAAAAAGCTCTGAGAGCTAGCAAGCTGTCAGGTTGTTAGCTTGTGTCTCATCGATTCCCGTCTCACTATTATCCGCAGACTGTTCTTCTTTTGTGGAGCGGTTTGTACTCTGACATGAGGCTAAATAAAAAGGTTGATGGTGCGTTACAGCTAATAATGCTAATAATGAGCGTTTTTGACTCTTCAGCTCCTCGTTCCCTCTGAGGGTCGACACTGTCAAGACGGCTTGTAATAAAGGGGACAAAGGCAAGTCGTCAGGTCGAGGCCGTGCTCTCTTCCACGAGCTTCAATAACTTATTGCAAGCTCTCATTCAACATTTCTTTCATACGTCTTTATGAAAAGCATGTATCCACTACAGCAGTTGCTCCAAAACATGTAAACCTTCGTGATGTTAGCAACATTAAGACGACGATTACTCATGGAAACAACTACAAGTGCAGCTGTGCGAGTTTGATCGTAACTTAGTCCTATCCATAAAAGCGCGGTGTTCATAAAAAATTTTTTTTTCTTCTCCCGAGCTGTGACGTTTAGCGTGCTCATGGGAAAATGGTGTTCATAAATTTTTTTTTTTAAAAAAGCCATAAAAATATAAATATTGAATAAACAGCGATATTAGAGTGTCTCTTCAAAAAGCTACTGTCTTTATTTAGTTTTCTCACTTCTGGAACAAAACCTTCCTCATCAAAGCTGAACCTAAACCACAAAAAAAGATGAATCCAGACTGTGGTGATTCCAAATGTCAATGATGTAACGTCCTCCTGAGATATCGTCATTAGCGTTATAATCAGGTGGACTTCAGCCGCCATTTTGAACTGACGGTCAGCATTCATACAGGAAGAGATCCATCACATGAAAGGCATAGAAAACAATTTACACACCCGCTGCAGCCTTGGTTGAGGGGAAAATGGCTGCATAGAAATCCAGTTTATCACACACACACACACACACACACACACACACACATACACAAAAAAAGTAAACATCTGGAATACTGCAAACATCTCAGACTGATGAGATGTAACGATGTCCGTTTTTGTAAGTGTGTGTGTGTGTGTGTTTGTGCCATCAGTCACATAAACATGGATTTCTCACAGCTCAATGGCAGAGATTATATACATACATACATCTCCCCATAATCATCAAATGAATGAGCCAACCAATCAGTGAGGAGAGACTTCCAATTAGCGCACAGCTGCACAGATTAACATGCAAATTTATGCGCGGTGGCGATCAGCCTCCTGACGGGAGCTGATGGAGAAAATATTACACTGAGTGACACTGTAAACACTGCTGCCTACACACAAACAGGCACACACACACACACACACACACACATGAAGTAGCACAGACATCTCAGCCTGAACTAACACGACAGGCGAAGACGTTGAACATCTACACACTTTGTGACCCCATGACCTCAGGTCAGGGTTATATTCAACAGACCACATCATCACATCATATCTATTCTGTGACCACGACCCCTAATCCTATCTTATCTTTGACCCGCCTCCATGTCAAATATCAGCTGTAGTTTCATGCTCTGAATCATAATTGGAGAATGTTTGAAGATTTGTAGAAGGGGAGAAGATGCTGCATGCGGATGTTTAACATGAACAGATCACTTACCAATTTAATTATGAGGCGGTGGTATAATAACCATAAAGGCATAAGAAAATATAGAAATATATAAGAAACCGACGAGTGCACAATTGGAATATGGCGTCTCTTACAGTGATGAGTGCTGCGGTTGAATTTCAACTGTGTGCACCGTATTCACAAACTACACGGTGCTAGCGACGTCCTGATGTAGCGACGACTCACAGCTGGTGATGCTGCTGACTCTCTAATAACACTCTGAGTTAGCTAGCTCGCTAACCTTCACACAGGCTTATTTCATGGGCAAAAATGGCCATGACTGACAATCCATTCGTCTCTTATGCAGCGGCTCGTACTCAGAGAGAGAAGGTTAAATAAAAGTGAATAATCACCAAACTGTACATCTTCCCGCTCCTTCTTGTATTAGTTTTAGTGTAATAATTTAAAAATGTATGACCTGCTTAAAAACATTAAATTCCATTTTCCTAATTTGCACTTTCCATTTGTGCAGATGCATTTTATAATTAGAAATATTAATTTGTAGGAAACAATAACTGGGCCTCATTAAAAAAAAAAACAGGTTCATTGAGAAAGGAACAGTTGTAAATATTTGCAGTAGTCGACGACCGAGCAGGAAGCAGAAATAATAAACAGATCGCCAGTGTTATTGACTGAGAGGGAAACGGAGCGACGCCGAACAACTCTTGCTAAGCGGTCAACATGATCCAGATATTTAGGGGCAGATTTTGGTCCTCAGTCAGCAGATAGCAGCAGTGACGAACCTCCTGAGAGTGAGTCAGACGAGAAACCGAGAGGCGCTCTGACTGCTGGGCAGAGGCGCAATGTGGGTCAATGGAACGCTGGCACAGATGAGGACCAATATGTTCCTCTGTACGTGTGTGTGTGTTTAGGCATGTTTATGTGTCTGATTACACATGTGACTGAGCTGTGCGTGCACATGTGAAACTGTGAGTTCATGTGTGGGTGTGTGTGTGTGTGTGTGCGTGCAGCTGAACTGAAGCTGCTTCATACATCAGGCCAATTCAATTACAGCAGGATGAATGTTCGGACCTTCCTGCCCTCACAGCGGTAAAACACGCGACCCTTTTGAAGTGCTGTTTACTGACCTCAGAGCAGCCTGACGTATCTCATTCTCACACACTCAGAATATACGTACCTGCGCCGCTGCCGGGGGAACGCTCACCTCTGTCACTGTCGCTGAGTGCAGGCGACTTACTGCTTCAACGCGCTCTGCTTAAACTGCGTCTGAACCGATGCTCCTTTTAATCGAGGGGCAAACAATGAGGCAAAGACTATTTAACAAATTGGAT